GTTGAAGATCTCTTTAAAATGAAAATGTTACCGTGAGTGCATGGATATGCCTCATAAACAAACAAACAAACAAACAGTTATTTTTTAGCAAGATTGTAAAAAGGCAAACAGCGGCAAGATGAGAAAAAGCACAGAGTTGTACATGTTATATATATATATATATGTAATGTTCCTCGTGCTCATATCAAATGACGTCAAAGGTAACGCTGAATGAGAAAACTGTATGGAGTATTTATCATCTTTAGCAAATGCAAGGGCACTTGCAACACAAATTAATAAAAGCGCTGAAGATAAGAGGTTTTACTAGACAGAAGCATGCAAAGAAAAGAAGTGGGAGATTGATAGTTGTTTGACGGGACAGAAGGAGCAAATCACGCCAGAGCAACCGCCAACTACCCACGAAACGAGAGAATACTTAGGTTGGTGAGAACTGCTGTTGTCGCTCTAGCTTCCTATTAATGGCTAGGACTGATAAACTGTTTGTGGTGTAATGTAACTGTTGGTGTGTTACTGTTACTCTCCAATCGACACACTTTAGAATTTTGGAAAAGAGTTGTGAGTGTGAAGTACAGAGTGTCCAAAAAATCGCGCACCATCCTAAAACACACTTTATTGTGGTCGCGAACCATCCCGAAACACACTTATTGTTGAAAACCATCCAGAAACACACATATTGTTGTCGAAAACCATCCCGAAACACATATATTGTTGTCGAAAACCATCCCGAAACACACTTATAAAAAATAAAATTGTTGTCGAAAACCATCCTGAAACACACTTATTGTTGTCGCGAACCATCCTGGAATACACTTACTGTTACAGATGCTCAAACTGAGCACCATTTTCATTAATACAACTCTCTACTCTCTGCAAAAAGTTGTTTTTAACTTTCCTTATGGTATCTGGATGGATGTTGTGACATTAGATTGTGATTGCATATCTCAATTTGTCAAGAGAGCGTGGAAAGAGAGTAAAAAAAACAGATTTTTAGGGTGGTGCGCGACTTTTTAGACACCCCCCCCAAAAAAAAAAATTTTAAAAAATGAATATATATTTATACATTATGCGCGCGTGTGTGTGTGTGTGTGTGTGTGTGTGTGTGTGTGTGTGTGTGCGTGTGTGTGTGTGTGTGTGTGTGTGTGTGTGTGTGTGTGTGTGTGTGTGTGTGTGCGTGTGTGTGTGTGTGTATGTGTGTGTGTGACATACACACATCCCGCTGACTTTCACCAGCAGAAATTAGAGTGTTAACTATAGTCAGCTTACGCAAAGCCAGAACAAAGACCTTCCCTACTTCCCTTTTTCCACAGGTTGCCAAAGTCGCCAGTTATGAAACAGACCAGTATGTGAACCAACCTTCTTAACTCTTTATCAACGCACATTCTGGTCACTCGACGAAGTGTAAGAGTAAGTATTCGTTTTGATTTAACTTTCCTATCAACAAAATTGGGTTATTTGTGGGGGGGGGGGGGGCGGGTTTGTGCTGGTAAGTGTTTTACGGAGCTCTCAACTGCATGAGGTCATATGAGCGTACGGGAACCATTAAGCACTTTTCAGTTCTGCAGGAATTAATTTTGAATATTGCCTGATGGCGGCTCTTTAAAAACGCACATTCTGGACATTCCACGAAGTGAAATAGTAAATATAATATTTTCTATGGGTTTAACGTCTCTATAAACACTGCTTATTTCAAAGGCGGGACCTCCGAACGTAACGTCCAACTGAGATCGGAACCAGCAAAATTAGTTGAGAGCCTTTAAAACGTTACAATACGACCCGATTTCAAGAACGACCAGTCAGGGATTCGGACCAGGGCAATCCTCTCAGAAGTCCAGCATGACATCAACTGATCCGAGCTAACGAAGCGGCCCTCGACAAACGCGAAGTGGCGCTGCTTTGGGTACTCTAATCCCTTAAAAGGACGTACCGGTAACGAACACCTATGTCCGACCAGCAGCAAACCAAAGTCACGTTTCGAACCATCAAACACAAATCGTGGCGTCGACAGCCCAGTAGTGGTTAGGCTACCGGACCCGTAATCGTGAATTTGCAGGTTCGGGGGTTCGAGCCTCAACTCATTCCAATGTTGTGTTCTTGGTAAAGGCCCTATACGCGAATTTCATTTTTATTGGCTAGGTCGTTTCTGAGATCGAAGCAGAGGTTCCGCCTCTTTAATAACCCATAGCCTTGCGTATAAACACACATTAGAAACAGGAGTTTGAACATTTCACAGTGCACATTTAAGTTCTTGCCTGTCTTTTAAAAGCTTCGCCTAAAAAAACGGAACTGAAATGTCTGTAGGAATATAAAGATGTTATGCCGCCTCTTTTTAAAGTATCCCAAATAAGCGCGTCCTTAATGAGGTAAAAAGGGAAGAACTATTCGTACCGATTATTCAGTCGTGTTTTCCAATATCTAAAACTTTAAAAAGCACACGCCGAAATGTGAACATTCGTGAATCCGATGATTCGATTCGTGTGTAAAGGTTTGAAATGTGCCACAAGCAATGCCTGAGATTTGTTTTGGTAAAAGTTATACGGCACTTGCAACACAATCAGGTCCTAAAGTGCCGAAGATTAGAGGTGTTACAAGAGAGTAACGGACACGAAAAAAAAGGAGGAGGAGAGATAAAGTGGACAATAGATGTTTGCTAGGAAAGAAGGAGCAAACCACACCAGAGCACCCTCGAGGCCTCAAACCTCCCTCTCGCCTTTGGTTTGCTACTGATCTACATTACATGTGCCCACCCCATACTTAACCCTATCCGTACGCCCAGGAGTCATTTTGTACCCCTGAGGTTGTATTCTTCACATTTTAGAATACTTCTAGAACGAAGATCTCTTTGAAACTTTCGGTATTTCTCAAAAAAGTCATTTTGACAAACTGCTATGCAAAGCGTACGGATCGGATTAACGAGTAAATTTCCTCTCTGGAAAGTGGTGGTACAGAGTTCCCCACCTCGTATGGATACGACAGTAAACACGACGTACGGTTAGGGTTAAACAGTAAACTTGGCAGCAAGCTGCTTCACGTGCGTATTTCTGAGCGGCCAATCGTGACAGGCCCGATATAGCTCATTCGGTCGTCATGATTCTTGGTAAACTTTGGCAGCTGCTCACACTGACATTCGCACTCGGTCGTTATCATTTCCGCAGAATCTGTAACTTTAACATTACCCACACTGAGCAGCAGACCAACTTTTTTTAAACTCGCCCGC